ATATATATATATATATATATATATATATATATATATATACCAACCTACCAACCTGCTGTAATCTAATTACCACCCATTTCAGGCTATTCCCACAATGTGGACCATTGTTAGCTACAGACTGGAGAAAAATTGGGGATTAGACTGATATGAGAGCATACAGCACGAACTCCTGTATGTTAGTTACAGCTGCAAGTGGATGGTTAGACAGAACACCTCTCATATCAAAGTCTATCAACTCAGTGAAGTTGAATAACTAGCATTCCTTGCACCCTTGAATGCAGATAAAAAACCATACCGGATGCGAATAATTCGCCTCAGTATGAAGACAGCGATGTGGTAGCACCTTGAGTGTGCATCTAGAATAGTACACCAAAGTCTGAAGGGTTGACGGTTTTTCTATTCGTTAGTGAGTAAGTCACTTGGACAAACTGACCTGCGTTCTACAAGAAATCAGAGGCACTACGAACCGTTGGAAGTACGCAGAGATTAGCCAATGTAAATGAGGTTTTATTACAAGATAATAACCGATTATCCACACCTTCTGTACACCGGAGCTAATCGTTCAGCTGTTGTCCACAACATTTAAGCGAATTGTGTCCAGCACTAAATAGATCACTCATAATTATTTATTACACATTGTGACCTCAACACTCGATGTTTTTGAGAAAGGAGCTGTTGGTATATCATATTAATAATAATTGTTCAGCTGTAACACCCTTTCGGTGCCTAACTGCAATGCTAAGTAAAAAAAGCACGAGGGCTGGGATACTGCCATTTCGTCCACGCCTCGACAGGGGAACTCGAGAGGCAGAGGTTAGGTCCAAACCACGGACCTTTCGGTCAGTAAATTTGGGCTCTAACCACTCAGCCTGTAGAACAATACATCTTATCAACAGTTCAGATCCTCTATCACGTACACAATGCTTGGTGAATTCTTGAGTGATCGAAATTTCACACTGGAGCTATAGTTGTTGTTTTATAATGAGACAGCTGTTTTCGAAACTTAAATTTAATCACTCGAGATGTTAATTCCATCAACTCCTTATATTACAAGCTTGTACATGATCCGGCTTGTCTGAACCACGATCGAACTGTTGCACGCAGGTTCGCTGTGATGTGAGGAAACAGAGGAACTATGTAGTCTGCGGTTACGAAAACATTAGCTGAGAACAGAGGCGGGGTAACTTTAAACTAGGGCCACACAGTGCTGTATACTGGCTTAACTGTGCCGCAGCACAATCGACTCGTGCTGGCCGTCCAGGAAAATGACACAGTATTTCAGAAAAATCAACCAACCATTACAGAGTTAATCGATGACTGCTTGTCGGCACTATGCACAAATGCGTAGAGATGCATTACCCACAGAGATGCTGGTAATTCTGCCTAATCCACATAGTAAGTCGAGTTCATAACGAACGGCCAATACCTCCAGTTGAAGAAATGGCATGCGATTTCAAGGTGTTTCGCCTAATCCGTAACAGACTACAACAAAATTCATCTAAAATGCTTGCACTCATATAGTTCTGAATTTTACCGGCACACATGGCATTTTACAGCCACAAATATAGATAACTTGAACCTGAAGCTTCAAAAGCTATTGTAGTTGCCTACCGTTGATTCACATTTCACCAACCATCAGTCTAATGTTCGAATTTTCGAAAACACGAACGAGGTGAAGTCGAATTGTGAACCTGTGACTGCAGTAAAATGAACGCTTGATTGCTAAGAATGTGTCCACAATACGAAAACAGTAATATTCTCTTTACCACAAAGGATACAGTTATCAGTTTCTATGACGCTTTACACTGTCCAAAGGTGAAACGCGTATTGTGGTGGACAAATCTGACGGCCGATAATTGTTAGTGGACCATTAAATTGGTGGAGACATTAACACACTTCGCCGGTGCATGCGCACTATCCAAAACATAGTATTTAAGGACAGAACAAGTTTACAGAGAGATACTCAACCCGCCCTTGACTACAGCCTGGTGTTGTGCCCGAGCAACTTCGGGTAAGCTAGGTTAATGTTGTTCTGACGATTGCCTCCTCAGAGTCATGACCATCCGTTCTGTTTCTATGACGTACTAGTCATGTGTGCCTGTGCGCCAGATTGTCTCGGGTTGGAGCTTGGTCATAAATACCCTGAGAAACAGTTTAGTTTGCGCTATAGACGTCAGTCGGATGTAAGGCAAGTGACAAAGCACGGTGGAAAATGCGAACCTCGAAATGACGTATTAGAGAGGGCGTCACTGCACGCAGGAACAGGACCTTATGTGAAGCAGTTCCAACACACTCAAGTTATTTTCACCTATAGCTTCGGTACAGAAAAGTCTGGATGGTTGATGGTGGCATGTAGCTGTCCAATAATTTATGTATTAATCCGCCCCCAGATAAAAAGGGCTAACAACAACAGTCCCAGCGTTATTCAGCAATTGTTCGAGATGCCACGTATTTTTAAAGAGCCCACCAAATACGACTTAAGTAGTTCGTTTGACGGTCAGGCCTAGAAGGTACTCTTAGAAGCAGCCCAGCACCCTACGTCGATGAACACCGACACGTACAATCGGGTTGTCAGGCGGAGATAAACAACAAATAACATACAGATAAATTAAAAACCCGCGTAATCCACAAATATGCACAGCAAACTCACTGACAGTCTTTAGGTGACCCGTGTAGCCTGTGGACAACTTCGTTTACGGTACACAGGAGCGCGTACATCCGCATCCCATATAGGAGGATCGATTACCCTGTGTATCCCGTAGTGTGCGGAAGAGTCAATCAGTGTTAAGGTTTCATTCAAAACGACTTGATGCGGTCAGAGAGATACTACTAAAAAATTTGGACCCAGTAAGTGGTAATCTATACTGAAGCTGGTCTACATATACCCAAAATGACAGTGTCTCTGGGAGATTCACCAGTCTAGGTGAATCACCAGCCCCTACTCATTGTTTCGGATTGTCAAATTCAACAATTTTATCCAGACACCAACAGTCTACATTTTCAGTGGCACCAATTACACACCTGGACGAAATCGCACAATTTCAGACGTATCTCCAGCCCCACCGATCGGATTTCTGGGAATTGCAAGGCCAATTTGAAAAGCAAACCACCATAACCACAGCCTACATCGACATAACGAACTAGGCTATCCGTAGTGGTTGGTCCGAACAAATGTTCCCAATCAAACATGTCCGGGCGAACGGGGTAATCCAAAGTGTGATCAGACCAAGGATTACAATGCGCTCGCTGACGATAATAGCGCTTGACCGGAAGCTGAACTGAAGAGTCAGTAGATTGGATAATGCTCGAGTTATCATCTGAACCGTGGCGCTTGGTCATCTGAAAACGGATATAACAAGGAAATGATACAGCGGAGGGAAGGGTTCCCAGTTGATAAAAAATGAGAACACCAGTAGAGTATCTAGTAATTTATTGCTCAAAGCGTAGTCCTGCAGTCAATGAAGGTAATGAAGTCAAAGGTAGTGTACGTAAGATATCACGCAATGCAGTTTGGGACTCGCAAGACACACGAGAGTAGACTGACAGCAATCAGTTTGCATTGAAAAAATAGAGTTCATTGAACGGAGGGTAAAAGATATATTGCCAGGTAAACCATCGTATCACCGTCGGAGCCAAGCAAATAGGAAAAAGCAAATGAGAAGAGTCACAAACACCTTGACCATGAACGCCCGTCTAGCAGTCACTCCACGGAGATAAACCAATAAGTGTTCATGTGCCGAGCCAATATTCAATTCTGTCTCCTCCGTATTGCTATCAATCCGCATTACCATATCGCCTTGTTCTTGGACCAGAGTAGAGAACTGTTGGTAAATTTCACCGAGTTGGATTATGGTGGATTCCACCCGCTTCAAGTTGGCATCACGTTGACGTACTTCTTGATCAGGCAGTGGAAGAAGGAGTTGTGTTTGTTCAGTGGGGTCATTCGGTGTTGCACCAGTCTGTATGCAAAAGATGCAATGAGAACTATACATACAAGCGGATACTGGTCGAAAATTGGGAAATCCAGTGCGATCACATGTTTAGGTACTCTATGGAAAAAAACCCCATCAGTGAAATGAAAAAAAAACTATAATCAGCTCAAGTGCTTGTGATTGACCCACCGACCCACAATTACTCGTTCTCCTGTGTCCTTTGCATGATGTGGCCTGACCTGGGATGACCTAAAAGTGCGCGTCTAAGGCGCCGATGGATGTGATGTGTTGTACTGTTAATCCGATGTAACCGTAAAGGAAACAGACTCATAAAGTTAGAAGCTTCTATGAGTATTCTGCTTATACTGACCCTCTGATGCATTATCGTACATTTATCTGTTGGTAACACAAGGTGATTGCTTGAATTTCAATCGTATGGCCGCATTCCACCATCCCCTGTACAGTAATCGGTTGAGCAGAATGCAAGCACTGTAATCTAAGTGGATTCAGAAAGGTTTACTTGAGCATTTCCAGCCAATAAAATCCGTAATGACCTTGCATGGTATTGTTTAACAATTGAGACACTTACTATTAAACTAGCTATGGAACGAGTTAGCTGGCTAGTTAGTTTAAAAATATGGCGATCAGAACAAGCTGAGACTGCAGGCTATCAAAACATGAATCGCTAAAGCGCTCGACAGGAATGGGTTCACAGAAAGGTTATCACTCACGACAACCCCTTATCACCTGGCAAGCTTAACACACTTCCAGAAGTGGTCTAAGCGTACAGTTAAAAGCGATTATCACAATGAAAGAATAGTAAAATGAGCGTAATGGTGCACGTAATAGATATGCGCCCTTTCGGGAAGTAGGCGTTCGTCCTGTTAGGACTCTTCATTTGCTACGCGTTCTTCTCTAGCTACTCCAAGATTAGTTTGGTATCATACCTGCTTTCTAGTGTGTGTACTAGCATCGAGGGTCTTTGTTGTAAAGTCTCAGGACGTACTGACATCTAATTACCTGTTTCGATAAAACATTAGAATGTGTTGAAATGGACTAACTCAAATCATTTTCGACCTATTCACAAAGATGGCGAATCGCGAACACAAATATTTTCCACACAAACCTCAGGAAGCACGACGGCTAGGTGTGAACTGATTCTCGGCTTTTCGGCATAGAATGACTTCACTTACAGGACGAAATCTTGATTGTGATTCCCAAATCTGGTCATATTACCAATAGGAAAATGACCCTGGGTGTGGATCCTGGGCTTTCCGATCAAACGCTTGCGCATTAAGCTAAGTTAAAATGAAGGCGGCTACAGTCAAACTGAATGCCGGCTGAGGCCCACGTGATCCAGCTTGCAGGAGGGTTTGAGGCCCTGCAGGAAACGGTACACAACCGACCACAGTGACGTGCATGCTGCATTTCCTAGCCTCATTGCTTACAGTAAGTTTACCCGTCGTTGTGTGCTGGGTTTGTGCTGTGTGAGGTTCGCACAGGACGTTTGGTTCATCCTACTAATGGCGTCTTAATTCGACAATATGCTCATACGTGTTTATTTTAATGCTGTCCAAAGGCGTAGATACCATACTTTTGTTGTCCTTCTTCCTTTTTCCACTTTATCCCTAAAGTTTGTGTGGCAGCTAAGCACCAGTGCTGGTATATTGCAATCGATGCTGAGAATTATGACTATAACCTCTAAATCGGGTTCATCGCACGTCAGGCCACAAGCACAGAGAAAGGGTAATTTACATTTGGAAATGGAACTAATCTAATACCACAAATTGTATCGATTCCAATTGAAAACGCTGGTCTTGTAATAACATTCGAGAAGTTCAGTGCAACCACACTCCCAAATAAACTGTTTCAAAATGCCAAAGACCCACAAAACGATTTAGAAATATTCAAATAAGTAAGCCCACCTGAGTTGGCGAGTTAAACGTCCCAGACGATGACAAATGATGTATGGGATACGAGGTAAACCCGGAAGATTGTGTTCCAGAAACAAAACTAGGCCTTGCGCCGGATTCAGTGGCCGAATGTTTCGGAGAAGAGCCACCAGTAGGGAAGTCCAAAGTTACCCGGGTCATTAGCTCCGGTTGGATTGGCGAAGCACCACTAAAGGTCGGGTGATAAAGGTTGGTAGAGTCGCAGCCATTAGCCTTCCAGTCGGGATTGCCACTACTTGTCAAAGTAGCACCGAGAGATGTTGTTGAAGGGATTGCCGATTCCGATTTGTCGGACATCCGTCCTTTGTTATTCTCCAAAGTTTTCTGAAATCTACTGACCAGATAGGCTAGTCGACATTCTATGCCACTGACAATAAGGCCGTTGTGTTTGAGTGACTGCAAGCGAAAGGTGAGCTCACTATGGGTTTGTGTTTCCAAGGCTTTCAAAGAGACCACAGATTTGTTCAAATCTACAATATCACACTGAATCACATCAACCAATTTAGAAATGGATGAAATATCCGCGTGCGGCTCTTCTAGTAGTATGCATAACTTTTTGAGTTTCGTATGAGTAAGTTGCAAGTCGGTGGAAAGGTGCTTTGCAGCTTCCAGAAACGTCGTCGTTGCAGCACCCAGGCCACGTCGAGTGGCCTTTCTGGGTTTTATGTGGATCCTCCCAGAGACTACCCGTTGCTGATACGACCTGGCGCATGCCCGGAATTCACCAGTTCTATCAAACGCACCAATAATGGCTGTCATTCCAGCTACAAAATAAAAAAATGGGTGGTAACCTACTCAAGTAGTAATCTGGTAAAATGACTATGTGTGAAGTGAGTAGGAACCAAATGAAATATCACTGGAACAAATAGCGCTGAGAACTTGGGGAAGAATAAGCTACTGAATGCATTCAAATAGCATGTGTGATTGACCGTATCTTCGCTTCAGTAAGTGTGGACTGCAAAAATGGTTGTCATTTTCTAAAAATCACCATACAGAAGTGTGGTAGGGTTGCTGCCGCGTTCGAATAATAGTGCGGCTAGGGGGACGAGACAAAGGAAGGACAAGCAGACTGAACGGCGGAAACAGTAGCAAATAAATGAAACCGGTTCGAGAGCTCATCGTCATCATCATCACCATCATCATCATCTCATCGACAGCATGACATCAGTGTTCAACACCGATACTCCACTGCCGTACAACCATGACTAATTTGAAAGCCTTATTGTAAAGAAAAGAGTAAAGGTGGACGGGGAAGGGACTTAGTGCTAGCTTAACACAATCATTGCGACGTGCTTACACCTCCAGACATTCACTCAGACAATCTGGATAGAAACTGACAACAAGAACGCCACTGACATCGGTTGGCAGCCATATCCTGTAGTGTCTCCAACCAGGCACAGTGAGAATCACGCGGTCCCCACCCTGGAAGGCGAGTAGCACCGACAGCACCCAAGCGTTTCGTGACCTCTTTCATACTCCTCTGCCAAGTCAAGGGTTGGCCACCTCTCTGTTTACGCCACTCTAAACTGGGCATGGAAACCAGCACTCTTTTCGGAAAACGATGATTCGGCATATGCAACACATGTCTCAACCAACGCAGTTTCTGGTGCTGGACGCATTCTTCAATGGAAGTACCCGTTACACAACCGAAAACGCGCTTTCTAGCTGCCTCGTTACAGATTCGCCGACACCAACCCGCACGAGCTATGGTCCTGGGACAACGATTGTGGAACACCTGAAGACGTCTCAGTTCCTCTGCTCGAATAGGCCAAGTCTCACAGCCATACAGCAAAACAGCCCGTACTGTAGCTTGGTACACACGTCCCTTCAGATTCAGGGATAAACCATTCTGCTCAAGTTAGCAAACGCGGCCCGAGCCTTGCAGATTCGTGCATTCACCTCATCTGTCACACTACAATCAGAACTAATACAACTTCCAAGATACGTTCAAGAGGTCGGGTCGAACAGCTACAGATACTGAGTAGCTAGGAAAAGCTATTTATGATCGCTTTGGATTTCTCCCAGGATGGTGTTCCACTGCTTGTTTAGTAACCCATTCGTCACCATAATATTGAGCAGCCTGATTATGTGATGTGGTAACTCCAATTGGGCTGATGGTGGGCAATCACCTTAGTTCCCTGCCCAGTCATACCCTTCAAAGTCCGGTGAATTCAATATGAGTCTCCTCGACAGTGTTAGTAATCGAGGCTGAGTAGGCTTAGGTGTTCCAAACGATCTTCACTCAGGAATCAGTCTAATCCACGTATTGGATTCGTAATTCATGACCGAACATACCCAGATGACCTTTCTTGTAGTTCTTGAATAATGGGACGCCATGTCTATTTTATTCTGGTACGAAAGGGGGTGTTGGTATCAGATCAGCCAACTACGAAACACGGATTAAAATTTTCGACGTTTGCAAGAGAGTTTGTAACTATCTTTTGTTTGACCAAAGCATTCCCAATCTCCTTTCACTATCCATTCCTTTAGCACCCAGCGGAGGTACGAGAAAGCCTTTTGAAGTCAAAACGCGCACGTTCATTCGACGTTTGCCGTATTCCAAGTGACTACTGAAAAACACGACGCTCATTCTGGAGGTGTAAACGCCATATCTAAAAATCAGTTTTACTCACCTCCGGATGTTTTATGTGATTTCCCGATTTGTCTAGGTTATTATCGTCCATTCATCAGAGCGTTAGTCTCCATTCCATACAACGCCGTCGTGGAGCAACGTTGCTTCACTGTCACGTCTTTAGTTGTCCTCCTGGACGGCAATGACACCCACGACAAAGTGTACGAGCCAATGTTTTTTCTAGGGTTTCAGTGCCGTCCTTAGATGCTGAAACCATTGTGTGCGTTGTCATCAGACCTGGAGTCATTCACCATTCAATATTCACTGAGTAAAGGTGAAAGAACAGGCTTGCTTGAGCTCTTTCATCTCAAGCACCTGTGACTCCTGATGTTTGGACCCGTTCACGACGATATATTTTCTTCACATATTTGTCCAATTTTTCTCTAAATCTTTGCCCACAATTTCCTACCGTTACAAAGGATGGCAGGATATTCTAGGGGTTAATGACTCACCAAAATAGCCCGAAGGCCCATCGTTATACCCTGCGGCCTCTCTATAGTACTACTAAACTACGTCCTGTTCTGATGTTCTCAGAAGATGCTGCGTAGAATCTTTCTGAGATCGCCCCAGGGTCTTGTTTAAGACTGTAGGAGCACATCCAGTGGATATATGTCTTCCATCCCTTCGGCCAACCTGATGGTGACCCGTTGAACTCTTTCAATTCTGAACACCTCTCCTTTTGTGCATGTGTACAGCGAAGCGCCTTCATGTACCTAGATGTGATTGAATATCTGGTGAGTGGCGACAGAAATGCCACTGGCGGAAACTTGTAGAACGACCCCCAGGTGGCCTCAAGCGCTCCTCAGCAGGAACACAAGTGGCCTCGGGATTTTTTAGGCGACAGTGTCATCAACCCCATGTCTCCTGTGAATTAAACTGCTAGGACGGCTCTGTCATTGATAAAGTATGTATGAGCCTACTTTTCGTGTCCGGCTTCATCCACACTACCCTAATCATCATCGACATCACGCAACACTGGTCCCTCAATGCTGCACAACCATGTCCGTTTATTTGAATAAAGCCTCATAATGGAAAGGAAGAAATGGGACAGGAAGAGGGAACTAGTCTACCACACATTTTCGCCCCAACGGTCGAGGCACTCTTCTTTACTGAAGATGATTATTTCATTCCGATCCTTGATGGTTTCGCTTACAGAAGATTTCCGGTTAACAGTCGCACGGATCGGCTGAAATAATCTCCGGGCATTTCCGGCTTTCTGAGCCTCTTCCATCTCCTTGGCTTTCCGTGTCCACCACATTTCACGGTCGGCTCGCACTCTCACTTTCACTTGGCTTCTGATGATTTGTTGGGTCAAGTTGTGTTCGGATATACTGGGATATTTCTCCAAGATTTAGGCAGTGCCACTGTTCCGTCTAATATCGTGTTGAAGTGGGCCTGGTAGCGCCGTGCCACAGGCAAAATCCCCAGCACTGTGCAAAGTTGTGGCAATATCATTCAAGTGTGAATTCAAATTTGATGGTGGAGCATTTGGAAGAGACTCTAGGACACCATTCTGGTAAGTTCGCCTAATATCCGGATGTACCAGTCTCAGTTACTAAGCTATTTGTCCGAACCTTACACGGTCCTGGAAAACGAAAGAAGAAGCGACTCCGGAAAAGCGCGTGGTCGGAATCCACAAGTTTGTCCCGAAAGGAGCGGTAGTCAGTTACTGGTCCTTGCCACCTGTAACTGACAGCAATGTGATCTATCTGAATTCGTGGCTGGCAAGCCGTTGGAGAACACCATATGGCCAAGGGATACCGATCATTTCGAAAGTTAGTATCGCATACAAAAAGCCTGCGGTCACCATTTGGAAGAGCTCTAGGACACCATTCTGGTAAGTTCGCCTAATATCCGGATGTACCAGTCTCAGTTACTAAGCTATTTGTCCGAACCTTACACGGTCCTGGAAAACGAAAGAAGAAGCGACTCCGGAAAAGCGCGTGGTCGGAATCCACAAGTTTGTCCCGAAAGGAGCGGTAGTCAGTTACTGGTCCTTGCCACCTGTAACTGACAGCAATGTGATCTATCTGAATTCGTGGCTGGCAAGCCGTTGGAGAACACCATATGGCCAAGGGATACCGATCATTTCGAAAGTTAGTATCGCATACAAAAAGCCTGCGGTCACCACGCAGCTGAAGCACTTGTTCACCGTTGCCCGTACGCACCAAGTCCAATCTACGTCGGACTCCAAATTGAGTCTTAGATGCGCTAAGCCTGCTCACTTGTGCATCCATATCCAATGATATCTGAGCGTCTAGCTCACCGCAACAGGTCACTCAGAACGTCGTAAATGGTCTTTGATGGTGTCGGAGCTACAGTCAGTTGACGCGTAAGCAGACACGACAAACAGATATCGACCAACTTCTCGCTTGTAAGACTCTTTCACAGACGTTACTAGACGAACCACACAGAGGCGACTATCCATGGGTATCCAGTCAAGCAATGACTCTTCCGCCCGATGACATAGGCGATACCAACACGTGCGCAGCCGGTAAACGAGTGGAGAGTGATAGGGCGGTTAGCTCAACCCCTGTGCTGTGTCGAATTTTTGTTTCTGATACACAGCATACATCAATGCCAGTGTAAGAATAAAACAGCTTGTTGAACTGGCTGCTCCAGAATGCGAACATTGAAGGCGGTCAGGCAGAGTGGGCGTCGATGCTTGAAGATTGATTTGAAGATGACTGAGGATGTCGGTGCCGGATGACGCGCAGATGTTGCTTGCAAAAACCATTGCAGGACGAACCGTCATTATCCGCTGTTAAAACTGCGTACTTGTCGTACAATGGTTGTAGCTGCCACAGTCTCGTCCAACGATGATTTGGGGAGGTGGAGGGGGGGGGTAGCCGCGCAGTGGAGGCGGGAGCGGAAAGTTGTTGAGTAAATACATGACTGTTGAGTGGGGGGCTGTGAATGGAGCTGTGCATTGAAGGCACGAGCGCCAGTGAGTGCACGACTAGGCCATGACTGACAATGTCTCTAACCATTGATCTGGCCCATCTCGGGGCCCCATCCAGGAAAACAGCAACGAACAGGGCAACCGAGTTTACTAGTAGTGGCTTTTATCCTTCGCTGCCAAGTCATTATTTGATTTGCCCTGGCTCGTTTCAACCATTCACGTGATTGAGGGTGGATAAGGGCTCTTCAAGGAAGTCGGTCGACTGGCACACGGAGCACGTGGCCAGGCCAGCGCAACCTGTGCAGTGTGATCAGTTCATCTATCGAGGGTGAGTTATTTCATCCGTATACCATTCAAAATACTTCAGCATTACTGACCCGGTGTTCCAACCAGACTCGGGAAATGCCCCAAAGACACCGATGGTCACACACTGAAAGTCCTTTGACGTTCTTGTTGCGCTGTGGCCAGGTTTCTGACCCGTATAGTAATATGGATAGCACCAAAGCATTGTAAACTCGACCCTTGACGGATAGACTGATGTCACGCGTACGCCACAGGTGACGCAAGTTCACAGAAGCTGCTTTGGCCTTCCCAACCCGGATAGAAATATTATCTTTTGCGAGACCACCGGGACTGATACAGCTTCCCAAGCGGAAAAACTTGTCTAATATCTCAATCGGTTCGTCCGCAAGCATGAGGTTAGGTTACGAGACCACCCAGTCTTGCAGCAGCACTTCACACATTGCCGGTGTAAAAAAGTCGTTCAGCTGTAACACCCTTCCGGTGCCTAGCTGCCATGCAACCCGGACGAAGCACAAGGGCTGGGATACTGCCAGGTTGCCCAAGCCTAGACAAGGGAAATTGAGTGCCAGATGTCGGGTTCGAACCACGGACCTTCCGGTTGATAAATTCGCGCTCTAACCACTTGGACCATCTCGCCGGTGTGAAGCTCATGCCAAACCGTGAGGCGGAACCATTGAGGTTATTTATCATCGTTTGAATTACCAAGGGGTCAGATCCCAGAAGAGCTACCTCGTCTGCGTAGTCGACATATGTGAGCGGACGCCCCGGGAGCACTTCGACCCCATAGGCATTAGAGGCTGATAGGGTGTTTCCATGATCGCATCAATGACGAAGTTAAAGAGGTAAGGTAAAAGAGGACAGCCCTGTCTGACACCACTTGATGTGGTGAACTCAGGAGAGAGCTTCCCGTAGACCTTCACACGGTCGCGGGGGTTGGTGTACGGCGCCTTAAGGAGGATCAATAGTTTGTGGGGGACACCTTTGCTCCGCAGACACTGCCATAGTGTCTGAAGGCCCAGAGTCGAAGGTAGCCTTGATTGGTTGGTTGCTGGAAGCAGTGTCACTGTTACAGAGTCTGTCGGAGGGTGGAGATGTAATCGGTGCATCCTCTTGCAGGATGGAACCCAGCTTGGTTTTCACGAATTTACCCCTCTCTGTATTCAGTCAACCGTCGAAGGATGAGACCAGAAAGGACCTTCAATGCCACAGCTACCAGAGTGATGCACGATGGTTTTCACATAGCATCCACGTAGCCCTTTTGAAGATGGGGATAACTGTCGACAAGTCCTGGGGAGGCGAGATGACTCAAATGGTTAAAACACGACTTTACTGACCGGAAAGTTTGTGGTTCGAACCCTACCTGCCTCTCGGCTTCACCTGTCTAGCCTTGGGCAACCGGGCATATCCCAGCTCTCGTGCTTCCTTCGAGTAGCATGGCAGCTAGGCAGCCGAGCGATTTTTTTCCGACATGCCCCATTCTGCATGCACTTGCTCTGCACTCCATATCGCACCAATTAGATTGGATATCAGGGATTCTCCACTTTCTTTGAAGAGGATTGGATACAGACCGACTGGTTCTGGTGCCTTCTCACGTTTTAGTATGGATATTTCGTACTTCATTCCTTCTTCCGACGCGCGATCAGGGTCTGCATTCCATTCGCCCGTATGCACTCGTTCCACAGGCTGGATTGCAGCAAGCCGGCTAAACCGTTCTTCGAAGTGTTTGGTCCATCTTTCCAGTCGACGTTTTTGCGAGTAAATCAATGGGCCATCTTTTTCACTTATCGTTTTACCGACCGTTGCTTTTCTAGGGCCAATCGATCGTATCAGTTGATATGGGGCACGGTTGTTTCCCGTAGCAAAACCCCTTTCCATCTCCCGAGCTTTCGATGTCCGTCAGAGCTCTCGGTCCTTCCTTAGACTCTTCACTATTTGGCACTTGAGGGATTTGCGTGCGCCGTCGTACTCGTTGCCTTCTGTTAACGATTTCCAGGCATCAGTCATGAATAGCGATCTCGACGACATCCAGTGATCTTGTGGTCGAATTGGAGAAGTCGGGCAAACAGTACTGAACGCCGCCAACATAGCTCCCTTCACAATTTGCCAAACAAACTAACACCACAGTGTTGGTTTACTGTGGAGAGTTGTTGGGCTAGCTCAGATCGATACTGTTGAGCTATGGTAGTTCTTCGAAGATAGTGGAGTGGCATGCTTCTTGCCGACTTGTGGGAGCCTGAAGGGAAGCGAACTGTCAGGCGTCCACGCACCATGGCGTAATCTGAAGGAACGGCACTCTTGAATTGTGGCTCTCCAACGGTGGGTGATGGCTGCATGATCCAACTGGGTCCGCGGTTGATTTGCAGCTTGTGGCCACCAGTTTACGCGATGCGAACGTGTTTACTGGAAGTTCGTATTTGACAGAAACATTTCATGATCAGTACACAACTGGAGGAGTCGATCTCCCTTGTCTGTGCGGCGAGCATCGACTCCGAATCGACCGCCAAAATGTGAGTCCAAGGAGCTCAAGCGACCTATTTGAGTATTCATATCGCCTGCAAAGATCAAAATCAGTGCTTTTTGATTGTGAGTGAGCCCAGATAGCTCTCGATAGAAAGTATCCTTCTCAGCGTCAGAACTGCAGTCCTTTGGGGCATAAACCGACACTACAAACAAGCACCGCTTTTATGCTGAGGCATTGAGCTTGATTGAGCCGGATAATTAAACGGCGCAAAGACGACTGTTCACTGGGATTCGACCAAGCAAAGCGCGCTCTACTCTGGGACCAAGTGCAACTCCCACAAGTCATCACCTATGGGACACCGGACACACTGAAGGGGAAATGCGAAGGAGCTGAATTCATCTTTAGCATTCTGAGATGCAAACCACGCTTAGTTCTTGTATGTGTTTGAGAGATGCAGCATACCCTCCTCGGCTGCAGGGGGGTCGGCCTAACCCGAGGGCGCAGGGAATAAGACTCTCATTCCTGATGCGGCTGCGCACAGAAGATGCCTTCTGGGCAGCACCGGACTCTTCGGTTCTAAAAGTATCTCGAC